CGACTCCACCCCCGCTTTGAATACAGTACAAAGTGTGACCATTTATTTTTTTATTTTGTTTGTTTGTTCATATTTTGTTATTTTCAACTTTTTCTTCGTACGATTCGAAATGCGGGAAATGCACACTGTTGCCCACTATTGTTTACCACATGGCAGGGACGGGTACGGGTAAACGGGATGAACGGTACGGGTGAACGGGATGTGACAGTCCTAACCTGTTTTCAAAACTCTCCTCGTAATGCGTATGGTGCATCCTCACAAGACCATATCATCGCATATTAAACGTTTTGTGATCGGACGTTGAGGGAAGAGTACTACGCAAAAACATACAGCACATTTCTTGAATTGTTGAACGCTTGAAAGATTGAAATGTTGTATTCACTCGTTGAGAAATATAGGGAAATAAATCAGTCTTAATATTTTACATTTGAAGAAGTTATATTATTAAAAACCGTTAGGTTTATTGGCGTTTTAATTATCTAGATTTCGCCGCCTCACATACTACATTTGTATAACCAATTGCCAGACATCCAGACATTTTTTCGATTTGTTCTCTTTAGAGAGAATCTGTTTTTGATTCTTGAGAAATATAAAACCACACAGAGGTCAATTTATTTATCTACGTAATCAGTAGATTTGATTTGACTTGTCACTACAACTACGATGGTTCAGTATATTAAAAACAAAACGTCGTCATACTAATTATGATAAAAAATAATTTTGACATTTTAAATGATTGTGACAAAGGACGTTGGGGTACAAATGGTCGTGGCAAATGAATGCATGAATTTTATTTCACTAGATGCAGTCAATTAATAAACAGTATCATTATGTTAATAAGATAACTTAATAATAGTAGTAGTAATATCCACAACATTACTGCCTAATAATTTGATGTGGCTAGTCTAGTCTGTGGTCCGGTATCATATCGGGAAAACTGAATATTAGAAAACTATATACAATTATATATACAACATTGTTTACTACTAAGTATTCTAGTGGATTTGAAGGATCTTGTGACCTGCATTCGTTTAATGTAATTATGTTGTGAGTCAGACAGTGAAAGCAGGTACAAAGCTAAATCAAATTATTTAAATAGAGAAGCAGTGTGAGCGTGAAAAAAAAAGAAAAGAAAATGTATTCGGCGGATTATTTTTTCTGAAGCATTATATATAAGAAATCAAAAACATTTCCTGAGTTTATAACTTCATCACCAGAAATAAAATTGATATCAGAATCGATCCTTGTAGGACGCCACATTGGATTTTCAGAAGTATTCAGGATACTGATAGTCTGACGAGTCGCGTGAGTTGCGCTACCACGCCTACATATGAGGCTAGTATACTGACAGATTGTTGGCGATTACGTTTGGACCATGTAAGCAGCACAGGGTCGCAATACTGCAATGATGTAACCTAAAGTTACAATATTTGTCAATATTTTCAGCAATATCTGAAAGTAAGTCTACAAGGGCAAATTTGGTACTTCGCTTCTTCCAGAAGTATTTATAAGTATTTATACTGTGCATACAACAACAAGTTCCGCCACAAATGTATTATCACAAATAATATCCACACAATGAATAAATCTATCACGTGATAATTTCCGCTTAACGTATAATTATTCAGAAATTTGTAAAAATCACGTACGAATAATCTGTATATAATAATCTAACTATTCTTGTGATATAATAAGTCAAAGTGAACAACTTTTTTTTCACGTTTTATATTTGGGAAAAAATAAAAAATATACAAAATACAAGTAAGATATATTTCGGCACATATCTTATTGTGTCTCTGGTTTATATTAGGATAGTTTATGTACCGATGTATTACATATCATACGTTCATAAGTTGTTATTCCTTCAGATTTGTATGGTTTCCTCCGTTGGTACTTCACCAGTACATCGACCACGCCAGCTACCGACGCGCCGAGAGTGAAAGGGATGACCTTAGAATAGTACGTTTGACCCTGACCCCTCTCAGTAGTATTAAAACACGTGGCTACCGGTATATCGACGTAAATGCGCTGTTTGCTGCAATTGTTTTATTATCGTAGGTACACCGTGGTCTTAAAACTACGCTTTAAGTACGACATCCCGGACAACATCCAGGACAACATCAACACACGCCTATCACGCCGGGCCATCGCGCTGATTTGACCGAGAGTGCTACGCTGGTAATACCGGTATCATCATGGCAGCCAGCTTCTCAGTGGTCGATTACGTGATATTTTCGCTGGTGTTAGCGATCTCCGCTTGCATCGGTCTCTTTCACGCATTTACAGGAGGACGACAGAAAACTACTTCCGAATTTCTGATGGCCGACAGAAAAATGCGTTTCTTCCCCGTGGGACTGTCTTTATTGGCGAGTTTTATGTCGGCTGTGGCGTTGTTGGGGACATCGGCGGAAATCTACACTTTCGGTACCATGTTTTGGGTGATTGGGCTCTCTTATTTTATTATGATCCCAATATCTGCACATCTGTTTTTACCTGTGTTCTATCGACTGCGTATCACGAGTGTATACGAGGTAAGATCACAACTGACTCTGATTATTCCACTTCAATGACCTCAACTGTTTTTAAACATGGCCTACCATTATTGAAATATCGCACAAGTCTTTGTTTCTCTTAATTTTTGCATAATCTAATATTCAGTGTTGTCACTACAACACAAACGCCACGCACCCTCACCATGATACCCTCATCACAAACATAATTGTATTGACTGTCCCGCATTAAAAAAAATGAAATGAAGTAGCACCATCAAACGCAACCTTTAACCTTTTTGAATGTCACACTGGGTCAGGAATCCTGACATGTTCAACGAGTATTGGTGGCGGGTGATCATATTTTAGTATGACGGTTTACTCAATGGGACCAGTACAAATAACTTACTCAATACTGCAAATCGGGTTAAGATTTATCGTAAACTAAACATGGTGCGTTTACAGAACACGACACAGTACTCGTTAGATACAACAATCAAAACTACTAATACGCACCCGAACTGATTGTTATTGTACCAATGCAAATGGTATTACAGAATTGTATATGTCCCGCGGAGCGAATGATCAGATGTGAGCTTTAAGAACAACCTTTTTCAGTTCATGATAAATCATAGTCCAATTCATCTATCAATATACTGTGCCAAGCAACAATTCTAAAAATATGCATGTTCTTGTCCACACTGCATCTTTAAAGCGGCGTAGTCGTCACCTGTGCGTGTTTCAGATGGTCATAGCGTGTCATTCATTTGTTGACAAACAAGCGCTTTTTGAACGTATGTTGTTATCGTCGCTTGAGACTCTGGTGCGTGCGGAGGTGACGATCCCTCTGCTTTAAATATTATTATTTAACAAGAAGGTTTTGTGAGCCGACAACTAAATACATGATCTTGATCGGTTGATTGACTGATTTCCTTCCATAGTTTTGGGCCAGAAAATAGTATCCTTGTTCGGGATATAGTTTTGTTCAGTTTCCGTAGTTATAAATTATGTTTATTTCTCGTATCGTATGCGTGACAATGAGAATACAAACAAGCGTCTGCCCATAAGCATTTGCGTTTTAGCGTATGTTGTTATCATCGCTTGGGACTCCCGTGCGTGCGGGAAGCAAATAAGTCAGGTAGCAAATAAAACTCACACAGATAGTAAATTAGTATACGCGAATTTACTTGTATCGCATGATGAATCGACAATAAGAAATAATGGGTGGTAAATTGTAAAATACATTTATTTGCCTTCACTTATAATTAGTTTTGACCAAAATCATGTACGCTATTTTCATCTTATCCGTTTCCGAGTTCATGTCCACGTCCATATTCGTATCCGTATCTGTGCCAATAAAGTTTAGCTTAATGATAAATCTACAAATCGCGATAATTTATTAACGAGAAACAATAAAAGCGTTAACAAACATGCTTACAACAGTAAAATAATAAATAACCCCACAGTAATTTGTAAAAGCAATCCGGTGTAGTATAGAATATATAGAATGTTGGCGACGTGTTTGTATCGTACCACTTAGTCTCAACAACTTTATGAATGTCGCGACATTAAATTGTGTTTGGAATTAATGAAGGTGCTGTTGATATAATTCGATTCACCCGCTGTAGAAATATTGTTTTAATTTTTTTTTAAAATTCAATTCAGAACGAAGATCAGGCTGAGGAAATAGGGTCACCACCCGCAATTTAGTCAATTCGTCTGCGGTTGTGCGAAATAGGCGGATTAAAAAAAAATATATTACCAAAAACAAATAATTTGATAAACAAACCATACAACGGTAATGACAGAAACATCTCCCCTGCCCAGTAATGCCTGGTCGAGAGTTTGTGTGTGTGTGTGTGTGGGGGGGGGGTCTGATGAGCTATTAATATTTTTTTGCGGGTTGGTGAGAATTGTTATTGTCATTAGATAAAAATAAAACACTACATTCAAGGCATAACCACACTTTGTTTTTGTTTTCAGTATCTCCAGCTTCGCTTTTCGATGACCGCTCGTCTTATAGGGTGCTTTGCATATATCGCTTACATGGTAAGTCAGCCCCAACCACTCGTTCAACCACGTGACCTGCCATCAAATAAAACAAATCCCACGCACTAGATATTTTTGAAAAAAAACACATATAGGATGTAGGATCTTTTTAATGACGTCTAATCTTGAATAATTAACTGTTGTCAATCAATGTCACCTGACATGGATACGCCGAACATGATGCATCAGTCTAATCACGCAACTCGCGAGAACTCGCAGTTGAACGGAGAATCATCTATTATGCGTTTTTCATTCGCAGATGCGCGTAGCAGGCGATGAACTCAAATTGTTCTTTCGATGTGTCACTTTCTGAATTTCCGACGGAAGCTTTTTTTAGTGCAGTGCGTCCGTGTGTCCCTGGGTCCAGACGTCCGTGCGTCCGGGGAGGTATCTTAAACATGCCTGAACCAATCACAATCAAATTTCACACGTACATCATACATATTATTATACATATTCATATCAAGAAACTGTTCAATGTCGCATCGTTCGTATCTTCGGAACACGCTCCGTATTAGCTTGCACACAGTCTCTTGTTGTTGTTTTTTCAATAAAATGTTATTTGAATGTATAAATGGCAAAAGCCGGGTAGGCCGCGAAATAAACAGTTTTGTTTGTTTGGCGATATACCCGGCTTTCGCGGTAATTCGGCTTTATACACTATATACATTCGTGCTTTATTCAAGTCTAGATTAGCCCCATACAGAATGTACGGAAAGAATTAGTGTTATCAGCTTGTAAATAAACTATGAGGGGTTCTGTGAACATGCGCTGCATAAATGATTAACAGCACTCATTAGCATAGCCACACCTCCAATAAACTATTTTACCAGGTGAATAATTTGTTTGATCTGATTGGTTTACAGATTATGTACATGGCTGTTGTGATGTACGCACCGGCACTAGCATTGAATGCAGGTAATACTATGTATAAATTTCCAGGTACAAAATTAAATGAACGAATGTCGAGGATGTAGTGGAGGTTTTCAGGAAGTAAAATTCACATTCATATAGAAAAATTATTATAAACCATATCAAGCCATACCATAAATAAATAAATAAATAAATAAATAAATAAATAAATAAATAAATAAATAAACCAGTTGTTGAAGATTAAAAGGGATACAACATTTTTATTTTTCGAAAAATGTTGACTAAAGGAAAAAAACATTCACAGCAATTTTGATTTGCATTTTTCCTTTAAATGCCGTGCATACGTTGCGTTTTCACCAGAATATTTTGGTCGTTTTTACATTCACATAGTGAAATCCTTATAATGTGTAAATTAAAAAAAGGTCCACATCTTCAATCTCTGAAAAAAAGTGAAAAATCTGATGAGTTCCTGCTGATTAGTACCCATTTGATTGAGTCTTCTGTGACTAATGTTTTGATGTCCAGTAAATTGTAGATGATTGGTAAGCATCTGGAGATGTTCTAAAACTATATTATACTTGACTGTGTGATTTATTGATTATTTAAAATATATGTAAAGTATATGCAAATTTAGTCATCACAACAATGCAAGTTGTTAATTTTGACCACTGTGTTAAGTACGTACCATTTATGACAGAGGTCTGAAATTTTCATGAAATAATTAGACATACTTGTATATTTTATAAAATCTAAAAAAATCTTTTTGAGTATTGTGTTCCAAAACAATTATACTACGTCTTTAAGGTAGAAGCCTACTCAGAATGTATTCATTGTCCTAAAAATTGTACTTATAAATATAAGGATATTGAAAATAATTTGGGGGTCACCAGCTTAATTTTTGAGAAAATAATGGTTGTATTTTAGTGGATTGTGGCCATTTTTGTGCTTTTACCATATGTTCTTATGGCAGAAATAATATATTACATCTTAAATTGTAGACTGGTGACATCGGCCGAAAAAGTATATAGTGTGAATGATAGAGTACTTTTTGATTTTCTTAAATATTACAAAAATCTGGTGTTTTGAAAAGTGGCAAAAAATATAATTTTTCTTTAACATTGTGCTCTATAGAATCGTTTCAAAAAAAATACCGATTTTTGAAAAATATTGGGACAAGTTTCTCAAAATACGCCACTGTAACACACAAAAGAATGCTATTTCATGGTGCCTTAAGATAATGGCTTCACGATTTTACACAATAAACCATTAGACATTGTCATGTGATTTATGAAAAAAAATTCAGGATAACAAAAAGTACCCGAATCAATTAATAATTTGTTGACCATATGTCATCATTATGTCACCCTAGGAAACAATGTTATAGGCGGTCTCGTACTAACAAAATGGTCACCATTCACTTAAAATATAACCACAATTTCTCGACAAATAGACTGATGACAGCAAACATTCAAATCATCATGCATATGATCTACGATAAAAAAAAAACACATCTACTTTTCATTTGCATTGTATGTGTAAGTTTTTCCACGGCGTGGTCGTAAAGTTCAGTTAAAAATTAAATGGGTTTTTGGATTAAAGTAGTCCAGAATGTCAAATACGTTTACATAAAGTGAAGGGTTGGAAGTGTAGTTTCCCTTTGTACTTTTGTATTTTTTCGGATACAGATTTTGCTTGTATGTGTAAATAAATCATTTCGCCGGCCATAGCAACCATTGGCAATGAATGTGACTCAGAGTGATGAACTCATCGTTGCCATGGTTACTATTATTAAAGCGTACATTATCATAATTATCCTTAGCATCAAGCGATAGTAATCAACAAAATCACAATATGTTATGAAGCGAGAAAATCTGTTCTAAATTTCGATGTGGTGTGATTTTTTGATCATCAACATAGTTTACATTCCAAAGTAATGTAACAGCTTACAGCTTACACTGACCAGTTACAACCGCCAAGAAAATAATATAATAATAATAATAATAATAATAATAATAATAATAATAATACAATGTTTTATTTTTTTCAGTTACTGGGCTGAACATTTGGACATCCGTGTTGACTATTGGAATTGTGTGTAGTTTTTACACATCACTGGTATGTGTGCGTTGTTTGGATATGTTAATATTATAGAGGGGCTTATAATCAAAAAAGATCACATCCTGATACGTTGGGACTTTATTGAAAAACAATACATACATTAATCTATATCCGAGATGAGGCAAAATGTACTAAAACATGTCATTTTTTTAGGGTGGAATGAAAGCTGTAATCTGGACTGATGTGTTTCAGATTTCTATTATGTTTGCTGGTTTATTGGCAGTAATAATCCAAGGCAGCATACAGCTTGGCGGTTTTAGTGAAATATGGCAAATTAACAAACAGGGAGGCAGAATTGAGTTTTTCAAGTGAGTCAGTGTGTTTTGCTTTTCGTTATATGTATTATTTTATGTTAAAGGAAACATCAAGCCAGGCAACATAATGACCCCTGAAGAAAAAGGTCCACAAATGTAGGAAAATGCAATTTACAGTGTTTTTATATCACTTTTCATTCTCTAGATATTCAACTTATTATTATTATTATTATTATTATTATCATTATTATGTAGTCAGCCATCTTGATTCTCAAGCAAAGGATTGTGGGTAAAGTATGACATAGAATCTCTTGTCAAAAATTGAGAAAATTATTTCATCTATAACATGAGAAATACTGATGAAAGAATTAGTTCAAATTTTCGTTGTGCATATTACTCATGTATATAATTATAGTAGTGGAAATTAAGAATATTACAAATACACCATGAAGTGAAGATATTGCTAAAAACATTAAAAAATAAAAATCGATATTTTAGTCGTGAAATATAAAATGACACTTTTGTGTCCCCTTTCTGTGGTCAACATGTGATGTATCACCTATATAACCTATTCACATTGGTAAATTGTATACAATATAAGGAAATTTGAGAATTTGGTAGAAAAAAATATTTTCAGTTCTGTTTCCATGACAATTATTTTATAAACATGGATGGCACCAGTACATGTATGCTACCAATCTCTAAACTTTCAGCCAATTTGAAGTTCAACTTTTGAAGTTATAGATGAAATCTGACAACAGATTCTATGATGTCGTACTTTACCATAATCCTTTGCTTGAAAATCAAGATGGCTGACTACATAATACTGATGAAAAGTTGAATATCTAGAGAATGAAAAGGGATATAAAAAAACTGTAAATTGCATTCTCCTACATTAATTTTGTGGAACTTTTTCTTCAGGGGTCATTATGTTGTTTGGATTGATGTTTCCTTTAATTTGCAGTTCACATCATCCACTATGTGGGTTGCTGCAGTGGGCCCAGTTATGGCACAATTCCAGCAGCTCGAGTTTAAATGCATTGTACTTTGTGTCATAACACTGCCACACTAGTAATGCAGATTCTAGCCTGAGAACTCTGTTGATTGGATTTGAAATTAACAAATTAATGTACATTTGCTTGTGGCTTAGATATCTGATCGCGAATATGCTTCACCTTTTAAAATTACTTTCGACTAAAGAGGACACAAATACCACCCAAATTTCTCATATTGACTGTTTGATTTATTTCCTTGCTTTTCAGTTTTGACCCTGATCCTACAATTCGCCATACTTTCTGGTCTTTGACTATAGGGGGTTCTATCACATGGCTTGGCAATTATGGATGCAATCAGCTGTCCATCCAAAGGTATCTGAGTTGTCCTACAGAAAAAGACGCAAAGCTGTAAGTAGATAGAATTCTGTTATTTGTTCGAGTATCGTCTGATGAATAGAATTCCGGCCATGTATGGATGAGGGCTGGTGGGCAGTTCATATTTTTAGAAAATATACTAGTTGATGCATGTGTTTTAGATGTACGGATTACTGTGATATTTACTGACATTTTTCAACATGCTCATACATGTAGTTACATTAGATTAGAGCTTAATATTGAATCACTTCTTGGCGCCATATCGGAGTATTTGTAAGCTTGTATGACTATAATTTAGCGAGCCAACTGACTTTGCACATATACGTTTAATCATTATCGCCTGCTAAACAATTTTGCCCTAGCCGCCAATGGGTTTCCGATGATTTGTCTGCTATATCGGACTGTTTCGCGTCATAATTTTGCTGTTACATTTGACGTATTTGTATGTTTGTTTCCGCAGTGCATTGTATTTGAATCTGCCAGGTTTGCTGTCAATTGTGAGCTTAATAATAATGTGCGGATTAGTTTTGTTTGCTGCATATGCCGGGTGTGATCCGGTCAAATCAGGACACATCTCACGAGCCGACCAAGTATGTATACTTACATTAATTCTATATATATTGCTAATGGCAAAAACGCAACATATCGACCTCTGTATGTCTGTGACTAAAAATATTGTCATAGTGATATCTTATGATGGAATGCAACATCACAAGTACTTTGATTGTCTGATTGAGGAAGTGAATATCCGAGAACATAATTCTCACTTTTAGATATTGTAACGTATGATTATATATGAATCGTTTGTATATGCTAGCAGCACGCACACTTGATGATGATGTTGCAAATGTCGTATGTTTCATTACAGTTGCTAGCATATTATGTTATAGAGGAGTTATCGTTTCTCCCTGGTATGGCAGGACTTTTTATAGCTGCATTGTTTAGCGGCGCTTTAAGGTAAATATCACTTGTACATTCAACCTATATGTCGAGCATTGAGTTTAACATGAATGAAGTATATTTTATCAATTAGTAAATTTGTTCCTCACGTTAGAACGACAAATTGGCGATTACGTAACAAACATTGTATTGTTTAAACAACATACGATACGTGTAATGTAAACTGCAATTTTTAAATGTATTGTTTCTAATTTAAAACAAAACAAAATATACTTGTTTGTGGGTTAATACGTAAACAAATATATAAATGAAAAACAAGCACATAAATAAATCACCAAATTGAACAAATAAATTATGTCTAAACAGGGTCGTGTATATCCATGGAAACAAGAATATCATTATTCACGAGATGCTATAAAAAGCATATAACCAGTGTAATATGTAATGTTTGCTTATACTGACTTTTTATTCCATGTTTTACAGCACCCTTTCCTCAGGTTTAAATTGTTTAGCTGCGGTAACATTGACAGATATTGTAAAACCTGTAATAAAGAATTTACCAGAAGAAAAATTAGCAATTATAACACGAATTATTGGTGAGTCTCTGTATATATATATATATATTACAGGCAATGGAACACGCATATGAAACATGGGCTACAATGCTGATATCATGTCTGGGTATTTATATGATATCACCATTGTAGTCCATGTTTCATATGTGTGTTCCATTGACTGTACTTTTAAATTCTACTCTGAGGTTGTCTCTGCTCTTTTTTTTAGAACAGGGAGTGTTGCACAGTGGGTTCTGTGTTTGCCTACAGTGGCGAGGCACTTGTGTGTGCGTTTGTTTGCCTGCAAAATTATTATTTTCAGGATCTGTTTTACTTGCCACCAGAGATGAAAGTATAACAATAATTTAGCTGGTATAAGAGAACGGAAATAACAGTACACTCAAATTTTCAAATCCTAGAACAAAAGACAAACAGTCAGTCAGTCAGTCAGTCAGTCAGTCAGTCAACAAGGATATTTCGCACTTAGTCATTGCATCTAACGTTTGATTCGAATGAAAATAAAACAGTTACTATTATTATCGTATAATTATGATACTTTGTTGCAGCATGCTCCTTTGGAGGTATATCAATTTTGATGGCATTTGCTGCATCACACATGGGACCAATATTACCATTAGCAATCGGATTATTGGGCATGATAGGGGGTCCACTACTTGGACTGTTCACATTGGGGATATTCTTTCCATGGACCAACAACAAGGTTAGTTTATTACAATTATTTCATTATTTTAACTATTAAATATAATATGGTTCGCCTGTCAGGTCGTAACGCTAATAAGAAAATAGTAAACTGAACTGCTAGTGAAGTAATTATCATAATGGTGTATATTCAATCGGTGGTGTGTGTGCTCGCAATTGTTTAGCTTGTTCAAAATCAGAAATGACAATTTCATA